GGTGGCATTTCTGTCAGTTCTTATCATTAATGGATACAACTGTGTGGAAATGTAATCACACAAAAAAGCCAAGATGACGGTAAGCATCGCAAGAACGTTTATATATCTGGTGGGATACAATTCCGGAATCATTGACCAAGGAATCGAAAAAAATCCAAATGATGCAAATGCCTACAATTTATAGATTAGTCGTGAACTTTACAGCTGATTATAATAAACATAAATTGACAACTATTTTTCAAGAAGATTTTTTCAAGAAACTATAATATCTGTATAAAGTTCAATCTACGTTAAACTTAAACTTCTGCCGAAATGATAATAATTAAAAGAAAGAACAAGAAGTAATCTAGTCTAACAAGAAGTAATAACTATTACAAAAGGTAAGACGTTATAATTATTCTTAAAAATATTATTAAATTCACATGATTTTTCTCACCACATAGAGAAGGATGCAAACGAGGGGTACAACTGCAACGCCAGTTTCTTCAAAAAATTGCAGGTACAGTGCTAAAGCGCCCAAAGAGATTGACATACCAGCACCAGAGACAATCGAAATCAATCGGCGACCAATTCTAGTAGAATTTCGAATTTTATTTAAAAAAATCTGAGATTATAATCAATTCAAATGATATATTGTAACGTGTGATCGATATTTGCAACTCAATAACTACAACAACGTATTTTAATAGCTGATTGATATGTAGATTATCTATATAACTATAATTACAAAGATCTTGACAGAAAAAATATCAGGATATATATTGGATTTAAAGTAATTAACATGGATATCACATCAAATATATTCCAATTATACTGATTGACAAAATTTAATCTGCTTTTTGTCACAAAAAACAGCTTTTTTATTTTCTAAGTGTAAATAATTATTTCCGATATATTTTTGCTGTCTGGATACGAATCAAATTTTTATCGTTTACATTATGTTGCACGGGCAAATAAATTTTATTAATATTCCATAATGTGAAAGTATCAACTTTCAGGTCTGAAATGCTTTCCGTTTCGTTTGCATATAATTTTTTGTTTTCAAGATAACAATTTGAAAATATCTCGCTTCTCATCGAATACATGGAAAAGCATTATATTCCATCGTATACGTAATATTGCATTATGTGGAATGTAAGTACTTTTGTATTTATATAATATGATCAGGTTATACTAAATCAGAGAGTAATACGAAATTGATAGAATATAATGTAGCAGAAATCTTTCTGCCATATTTTATGTTGTCAATTTCATATCGCTTTTCGATTTACAATTAGTCCAATTATATTACATAAGTACAATAATACTTACTTCTCCACATAATGCAGTTCTATGATGAAATAAAATGCCTCTTTTATGGTATACATGGGAAAGATTTACAAATTGCTATATCTCGGAAACGAAAAATGATGTCGAGGAAAGGAAAAACATTTTAAAGTAAAAAGTTGATACTTTTACGTGACATGTATAATATTTAAAAAAATTTGCTGCCAATGTTATAATCTAATTTTGTATCTTCGATACAGTTTTTAAAACTGTGATATGATAGCCAAATTTGGATAGATTTATATTCCGCATGAGGTAAAAATACATCGGAAATTCACACTCATGTTGCAAAATGTTAAATGGACAATGTTAGCTCTCATAACTGAGCGCTTACCGATTTGTTATTTATTATTAAATACATATTATTTTAAGGTACATATGTATCTAAACCATTTATAAAAGAACAAAAATAATTACTTCTTGCTGCAGCTTGTGGTGATTATGTTGACTATCACTTGGATAATTCCTATTACGACGGTGATCAAGAAAGAATCTATTGTAATATTGATTCTGGTGATTATATCGACAGTGTAAGCTATAAACACAAACTCTCCACTAAACTTCTGAAAAAAGAAAAAGAGATTCAGAATCATAAACGGTTTCCACACTTCTGGTAAAAGGATTGTTTCCCAGATGCTCTTCAGTCTGCTCCACACATTCCAAATAAAAAACGATCTCTGTTCGGTCTCCTTAATCGACGAGGAGTCTATTCGACAATTTTGTGATGTTTTATAATTGCTTGTCTGTTCGTTGTAATTTACCATACTGGCAAACTCTTTCTGAAACTCTACCGTTTCTTCATGAAGGCCACGGATTTGAAGTAGAGCGTTCTTAGCTTCCTCCTTTCGGCCTTTCGAGAGTAACCAGATAGGGCTCTC